AGCAACGAGGTCAGCCCCATCCTTCACAACACTGGGGACAGGTAGAACCTCAGTATGTGGTGACACTTGGTGTTTGTGAACTGAAGGTGTACGCAAAGCTAGATGCAGCCACATACAAAGGGGGCTGTCAGAATGAGGGTTGCATTGGGTTTGTTTCCCCCCTCACCGGCCTATTCAAGAGTTTTGTACATGGTACCCCAGCTTAGGGTCCATCTTAGAACTCCCGATGAAGTGGAAGACGGCTTGGGTGACTGCAGTTTCAGGGAATGGGCCAGACCTGCACCACGTACAACGACAGAGAGTGCCTCACACCTGATGACCAGGTTTGTACCCACAATAGAGAGTGAGTGGTATTCTCAAAAGACCAGATTCTGTCTCACCTTGGCTATGTGCTCCTCCCAAGATTTTGCCCATGTCTTGGACCGTCTGAACCACATTCCCAGCACTTCCAGGTAATATATCCTGATGGAAGGGGAGAAAGTATTGGTCAGCCCAGTTCCCAAAGAACATGGCTTCACTCTTGACTCACTTTATCTTGGCTCCTGAGGCTGTTTGGAACTGGTCGCAGATGCTCATGAGTCTGTGCCCTGATGGTGGAACCAAGCTGAAAATGGCAACATAATCAACGTACAGGGAGGTTTTGACCTGCAGGCCTCCACTGTTTTAAATAGTTACCCCTGGCAGGCTTGTGTCCTTCCAGATGGACTTGACAGAAGACTCTATACAACACACAAACAAGATAGCCCTGCCTGACTCCACATCTGATCAGGATGCTTTCTGATTCCCACCCATTAATTGACACTGCAGTAACAATGTTGGTTAAGAGCAGTCAGATCCAATTGCGGATCTCCTCCCCAAAGTCTGTTTTGGAGACCACGTCCCACATGCAGGTGTGACATTGTACTACATGGTTACATAGTATTTTCAGCATGGAAACAGGTCATTCGTCTCAACAACTCCACACTAGTGATAAATCTCCTCCCACTCCTGTTCATCTGACCTTTCAACATTGGATCAACAAGGTGGGGAATAAATAGCATCCTCTTAAATCTTTTTATGATAGCAACTTCAAATACTCTTTGTGACAGCAAATTCCGCGTTCCAATCTTTGGGTTAAGACGATTGTCCCGAACTCTAGCTGGTCTCTCATATTCAAAACCTGTAAATTTGAGGTCATTCAAAGCCCTCCTGTCTTTGTCTTAACTTGCCGGAAGCCCTGTTCCATATCATCCTTGTGCTCACTGACCTACATTTTGCCTACTGGTCAAATGAATGTCTTGATTTTAAAATTTTCAATCTTTGCATTCAAATCCTTCCATGGTCACACCTCTCCCTGTTTCTGTCATTGTTCCAAGCCTACAGAACTCAGGGATATCTGCACTCTACAAATTCTGGCTGTTGATAATTTCCCAGTTTTAATTACTCCTCCATTGGTGGCCATGCCAGCAGTTGCTAGGCCCCAGGCTCTGGGATACCCTTCCTACATCAATTCCACATCAATCTGCCTTTCTACTTCACTTTCCTCCTTCAAGACAGACTCCTTAAAACCTACCAAGCTTTTGGTCATCTGATCCAATATTGCCTCATGCAGCTCAGAATCAGGCTTTGCTTTATAATGCAGTGTCTTGGGATGTTTTGATATTTTGAAGGTGCTATATAAGTTGTTACATTTATAGCCCTGGTTTGGGTCCCTTCCAATTGTATGTCTGCTAACTTTCCCTGATTTATTTTAGCATGTGTTGTTGCAATCCATCCGGTTGGGGGATTTATCCTATAATCTAGGTTAGTAACTTTAACAGAAAGAAGTAGTAGACCCAGTAATTATAGGCTATTCTCACTGTTCAACAAATTTATTGGTAACATTTCTAATGGGCAGTATAAATCATTTAGAAAGGCAGTTTTTCATGGACCGCAATTTCCCCTCCACAGTGGTCGAAAACGTCCTTGATCGCATCTCTTGCGTTTCCCGCAACTCAACCCTCATACTCCCTCCCCGCAATAACAATAAAGACAGAATTCCCCTCATCCTCAGGTATCACCCCACCAACCTCCGGATTCAACGCATCATCTTCTGCCACTTCTGCCACCTGCAATCTGACCCCACTACCAAGGACATTTTTCCCTCCCCACCCTTATCTGCCTTCCGGAGGAACTGTTCTCTCCGTGACTCCCTCGTCCGCTCCACACTCCCCACTAACCCCAGCATCTCTGGCACTTTTCCCTGCAACCAAAGGAAGTGCTACACCTGCCCCTACACCTCCCGCCTCACCCCCATCTCAGGCTTCAAGAAAACCTTCCACATTAAACAGATGTTCACCTGCACATCTGCTAATGTGGTATATTGTATCCGCTGTTCCCGATGTGGCCTCCTCTACATCGGGGAAACCAAGCGGAGGCTTGGAGACCACTTTGTGGATCACCTATGCTTGGTTTGTGACAAACGACAACACCTCCCAGTCACGAGCCACTTCAACTTCCCCTCCCACTCCTTGAACGACATGTCCATACTAGGCCTCCTCCAGTGCCACAACGATGCCACCCGAAGGCTGAGGAACAGCATCTCATATTCCGCCTGGGAACCCTGCAGCCCAATGGTCTCAATGTGGACTTCACATCTCCCCATCCCCGACCTCATCCCAAGACCAGCCCAGCTCATCCCCACCTCCTTGACCTGTCCATCTTTTCTCCCACCTATCCACTCCTCCCACCTCACTGACGAACCCCCCACCCCCACTTCCTACCTACTAGCCTCATTCCCGCCTCCTTGACCTGACGGTCTTCCCTCCCACCAACCCGCCCCTCCCTCCTCACTGACCAACCCCCATCCCAACTCCCTACCTACACTCCCCTTTACTGGCTTCATCCCCACCTCCTTGACCGGTCCATCTTCTCTCCACCTATCTGCTCCTCTATCCACCTTCTATCATCGCCTTCCCCTCTCCCTATTTATTTCAGAGCCCCCTTCCCCTACCCCATTTCTGAAGAAGGGTCCAAACCCGAAACATCAGCTTTCCTGCCCCTCTGATGCTGCCTGGCCTGCTGTGTTCATCCAGCTCTACACCTTGTTACCTCAGATTAATCATGGACTTGTTAAGGGAAGTTCAAGTCTGATTAACTTGATTTTGTCTTTAAAGAAGTCACAAGAAGAGTTGATGTAAAAAGCTTGTTTGATTGTATGCTACATGGATGTCATCAAAGCTTGACACTATTTTAAAACAGAACACTTAGATATGCACTTGCAGTGCCAAAACCAACAGGGCAATGGACTAAGAGCTAGAAAGCGAGATTAGACTGGAAATCCCTTTTTAATTCTGGCCAGCCCAGGCAGAATTGGGAAAATGGCTGACTTCTGTTCAATGTTTTTTTTTCCTATGTTTCTAGATTCTCCAATAGATTTCTCTGCTTTGGTTCATTTCCTGGTTTTAGATTCAGCAATGCTCTCTCAGCTCCTGGAGGTTGGATATTTCAGATCGGTGGGGTTTCCCACCTCTGTGACGTGTTAATTGGCTGCAGTCAGAACTTCTACCCTTGACGGGGGAGAGCGGCCTGCCACACAGAGCTGCCAGTTGATCCGATTGGCCTGGCAGCTCTGGTGCCAATAGCATTTGCAGAAGGGCGATCACTCCACCCACTGCTGGGAATACATCAAGTCCCACAAAACAAAGTGGCGGGAGACATGGCACAGGCAAGTCTGGGGTGGTTTCAGCATGACCAGGAGAGGAGACCTTGGTAAGTGGGTAAGAGGAGTGTGGGAATGGATTGCAAAAGACATGAAGGGACTGGTTAGAGGGTTGGGGGAAGACCTTTCAGTGGTGTTCTCCCTTCTCCCCTCTGCAGGTTAACCTGCCATGTTTTCCCTCCCCCAACCCTGACCACTGCCTGCCAACCTAAAAATTGCAGCTGGGCATAAAACCATGGCACTGGCCTAGTGATATTATTGCTAGATTATTAATCCAGAGACCCAGGTAATGCTCTGGGGACCTGAGCTCGAACCTGCCATGGAAGATGATGGAATTTGGATTGAATAGAAGTCTGGAATTAAGTCTAATAATGACCATGAAATAGTGATCATTTGTCAGCAAAACCTGTCTGGTTCACTCATGTCCTTTCAGGGAAGGAAATTACCATCCTTACTTGGTCTGCCTACATGTGACTCCAGATCCAAAGCGGTGGGGTTGACTCTTAACTGCCCTAAATATGGGCAAAAAATACTTGTCCATACAGCAATGCCCATATCCTGGGAATGACCAAAAAAACGTTAAAGGCCTCAATTGGGGAATGAGTATATGAACTTTAGACCCTTCCAACTTTCCCCAAAAATTGCTGCAAAGTTTAGTTACAGGAAGGATACTGGCAGAATATGACAGCCTCCGGCAACAGGTTTGCAAATGGGGGCATGTAAAATTCTGCCATGGTTTTATTGGATAAGAATGGATCCTCCACACATTATACCTTTTTATTCCACTTCTGGAGCTGGAAATTTGTCAGTAATTTCAACAATTTTGATTTTATTTCACACACTTCTTTACAGTTTTTATTCCTTCACCTGCTATCCACTAGGAGGTCGTCTATAGCACACAGTTATAATTCACTTTTTATTTCAAACTTTGTACATTGTGTTCCTGACCTCCTTGTGCTGCCGTGGCAAGCATCTTAAACAAAATTACGATGAATGCCCAAAAGCTAAGACAGAGTTCAGTTTAACAGAATCATAAAATTTGCAGCATAGCAAACCACTTTTTCACCAGAGATGCGACCTGGAAACAAACTCGGCTCTTGGTCTCACCTGCCTGGGAAAAATTCACCCCAAATTGTTTAAATGGCAGAAGCGATTTGACTTTGAGATTTGATGAACAAGTTGGAGTACTAGAAGCCAAATGACCTTTAATAAACCCACTAGCCATTTGATATTTCTGATTTTGGAGGGAAAGAAAAGCATCTGTATTATCTGTATTAACTACAGGAATAGCTATCACGATGTTGTTCCTTTTTTTCTGCAGTGGCAGCAGCGAAAAAGCATTGGACAGATTATTACCCCCTGTAACATCTACTTTGTCATCACGAAAGCGAACAACTAGCCAGTGCAAATCTGAGCCACCACTTTTGAGAACAAGCACGCGAACAATTTACACTGCAGGACGACCTCCTTGGTACAACGAACATGGAACACCGTGCAAGGAAGCGTTTGTTATTGGTAAGGATGCACATCAGCCTTCGGGACAATTATAGAATTGAGATTTTAATTTTTCAAAATTTCTGATTGAAAACCTTTTTGAAAATATTGCCACTTATTCTGTTGCACCCTCCCCCAGTATTATGACCAAACTTCCTGATTGTAAGTTTAAAGCTGACAATTACCATATTGAACAAAAACATAGAAAGCAAAGAACTAAGCTGCTGGAAGTCTGAAACAGAAATTGCTGGAGAACCTCAGCAGGTCTGGCAGAAGTGTTTTGAAGAAGGGTCACTGGACCCAAAACATTGACTCTGACTCTGCTTTCTCTCTGCAGATGCTACCAGACCTGTTGAATATCTCCAGCAAATTTTCTGTTTTTGTTTCTATGTACTGCAGTTCTGGGGCAGTTCACACAACCTCGTTTCGCTTTGATGCATAAATTGCTTCAGAAATAAATGTGCTTCGGATGTAGTGATTGAGCATACTTATTTTCCTTCGTTTGTTTTTTTAAACTGGAGAATCAAGATGGTTCAGTTTCCTGTTGGCCACTCACAGCCTGAGAGTCCACACTGCAAGACCTAAAGAAATAGGAGGGGTATGCCATACTGTCCCTTGAGCCTGCCCTGCATTCAATAGGATCATGCGGATTTTCCACCTCAATTCCAAAAGGCTTTAGTATCAGTGAGGCAGACACCCTTTGTCATTTGGAGCATCAGCTACATTTAAGGTGAGTTTGGAGGCAGGTGGCATCTAATTGGGCTCAAGGGTGTTGGGCTGGCACTGTGGTGCCTTCCCACCTCTGACCCAATTAATTTTGGGCATGAAGGTTCATGGATAGCCTTCATGCCCCCAACATTAATCGATGCCTTTAACTGTGCAATGCCTATTTTAAGGGATAGTAGTGTCTAGGCTCGAAACGTCAGCTATCCTGCTCCTCTGACGCTGCTTGGCCTGCTATGTTCATCCAGCTCTGCACCTTGTTATCTCGCCTATTTTAACCACCTGATCCTGTCACTATTTGTATTCGACCAGTGGCATATAGAACCATCACCACAGAGCCACTTGCCCTTGTTGGGTTTCCTGCAGGTTCAGGAGTGAGGCCAAAGGTTGAAAAGTACTCAATTCTAGATTGAGGAACCAGATATTGGGAAGGATAGTGCCTGCTGAGAGCCAGCCTTTCCTTTTGATGGCCACTCTTATCACCTCCTCAATTTCCTTCCCATATAACACCCATCCTGTTCTCATGCATCAATCCTGAAATTAAGATGGGTGCTTTGCGAGGAACTGCTAGCATTCCCAGTGAAACTGGCTACCGTGGTGACCCACTGGCCTGTTATTGACCAGCAGCACTCAGGGAGTATCTGTTTAGTCTAAGGGTTCCGTGACCCTGGGGTGAGTCTGACACTGATGATTTAACAGCATGGGGCCTCGCCAAGAAGTGATGCGAGTCTATGGCTCTCCAGTCAACAGGCAAGATGCCAATGTGTGGGATGGTTAATGGGTGTGGTGGTTAGCTGAGAGGTGGAAATGACAAGGAATATTAAATATCACTAATTCACTAATAACGTCATGGTAAAGCTATCAATTCTTTCGAAAAAGAACATGCTAGGAATAATTCTTGTGTTGCATAATGAGTGCAAAGATTTTTTTATTAACCTATTTTTCCAATCAACCTGTTTGAGATGTTATGACACACCTCTGGAGCAGGTGGGACTTGAACCCAGGCCCCTTGGTCTGGGGGAAGGACACTACCACTGTGCCACAGGCAGGAACTAAAGCAGGGGTCAGTTGTTTTCTCTGAGTAATTTTCTTTTTACAATACAGTCTCCAAGGCACAAAGCTTTCCAGCACCAAAGTCTTTCACCAGACTTCGATTTAAATCATTTATTTCAACTCATTTGTTGATTGCTTAAATTGGAAAATAGACAGATGGTAAATTATAGCACTTTCAAGCAGGAATTTAATATCTTAAAAGAATGAATGATTGATCTAAACTTAATCTGATCCAAGATCAAACAAATACTGTTCGTGACTATAGAGTAACCCATCTGGTTAACTCAGTGTCCTTTAGGAAAGGAAATTTGCCATCTTTTTACCTTGTCTGGCCTACATGTAACTCCAAACTGCAGCCAAGTGACAGCTGAAGTGGCCTAACAAGCCACTCTATTGTATTAAATCTCTGCAGAAAAATCAAGGAAATAAAACCAGTCAGACCACTCAGCAGTGACCCAGGCGCTAGAAATGACACTCTGCCCTATTGACTTGGCAAAATCCTCCCAACTAATATCTGGCACTTGTACCAACAGTGGGAGAGCTAGTGCGAAAACTAGCCCAGCAACAGCCTGCCAATGTCCCCAGGCACCATTGTCATAATCATCCCTGGGTATGTCCCGTCCCAATAGTGAGGCAAATCAACCAGCAGTGGTGGCCCGGTGATAAAGAATTGCTTTGCCAGCCCACGGCATTAAATCCAGATCCCACGCAGTTTGATGGCTTTTAAATTCTTATGAGCTTTGCTGGTAAGTCAAACATCTGTTACCCATCCCTTTCTGCCCTTGAACTGAGTGGCTTGCTAGACCATTTCAGAGGGAGGTTAAGAGTCAACCACATTGCTGTAGGGTCTGTAGTCACATATAGACCAGGTTGAGTAAGAATGGCAGATTTCCTTCCCTTGAGGACATTAGTAGCTGAAGTAGGTTATTACAACAATTGATACTAGTTATATGGTCACCAGGCGGATAGTTTCAGATTCCAGATTTTTGTTTTTCTTTGCCATGGTGGGATTTGAATCCATGTCCCCAGAGTATTAGTCTGCAGCCTCTGGATTATAAATCCAGTGATATTTCCACAACCCCATCACCTCCCACAGAATGGTGATCTCAATCTCCTCCAGAGGTTCCTAGCATCATCATAGATGCCAGTCTTCAGCCAATTCGATTCACTCTACATGATATCAAGAAATAGCTGAAGGCACTCAATACTGCAAAGGCTATGGGCCGTGATAACATACAGGCTATAGAGCTAAAGACTTGAACTCCAGTACATGCCACTGTAATGGACAAGCTATTCTAGTATAGCAACAACACTTGTATCTATCCAGTGATATGGAATTTTTTTTTGCCAGGTATGGCCTACAGACAAAAAGCAGGACTATCTCAACCCACCCAATTACCATCCCATCAGTCTACTCTCAATCATCAGTGTAAAGTTATGGAAGTAGTCATCAACAGTATTATCAAGCAGTACTTACTTTCTCATTGACACTTAATTTGGATTCCACCAGGATCACTCCACTCCTGATCTCTTTATAGCCTTGGTTCAAATGTGGACAAAACAGTCGAATTCCAAAGGCTAAGTGAAAGTGACTCCTTGACATAAAAGCCTGAATGTGGCATCATGGAGCCCTTTCAAATTTAGTCTTTGGGAATCAGGAGAAAACTGTCCACTGATTGGAGTCATACCTGGCACATAGGAAGCTGATTGTAACTAATGCAGGTCAGTCATCTCAGCTTCAGGACGTTTCTGCAAGAGTTCTTTGGTATTGACGACCTTCAGCTGCTTCATCAATGACCTTACCTCCGTCATGAAGGTCAGAAATGGGAATGTTTGCACCTGATGCCCCACACCATTTTTTACTTCTCAGATACTGAAGCAGTCCATGTAAAATGCAGCAAGATCTGAACAGTATCTAGGTTTGAACTGACACGTGGCAAGCAACATTGCAAAATGTCCAATAAAAGACAATCCAACCTTTGTCCTTGACATTCAAAGGCATTATCATCACTGAATCCCTCACTATCAATATCTGGGGTGGGGGGCTACTAATGACCAGAAACAGAACTGGACTCAATTTAAATATTGTGCCTACAAGGAAAGGTCAGAGGCTAGGAATCTTGCAGCAAACAACTCAACTCTTGACTCCACAGAGCCTGTCTGCCATCTACACAGCACAAATCGGGAGTTTAATGGAAAACTCTCCACTTGTCTAGATAAATGCAAGTCCAACAACACTCAAAATCTAATACCATCCAGAACAAGGCTGACATGAGTGCACCACATCTACAAAGATTCGCTCCCTCTATCTTCGATGCTCAGTTGCAGCAGTGTGTATTATCCACAGAACCTACTGCAGATGTTCACCAAAGCTTCTTAGACAGCACCTTCCAAACCCATGATCACTTCCATCTTATATGATAAGGCCAGATACACAGGAACACCATCACCTACAAGTTCCCCTCCAATTCACACACCATCCTGACTCCAATATATCGCTGTTCCTTAAGTGTCACTGGGTCAAAATCCTGGAACTGCTTACCTAACAGCATTGTGGGTCTATCCAGAGCAAATGGATGACAATGATTCAAGAAGGCAGTGCACTAACATCTTCTCAGGGACATTTAAGGATGGGTAACAAATGCTGGTTCAACCAGCGATGCTCACTTCCTATAAATGCTTTATAAAGAACTTTAACCTTACAATCAAATCAGGAGATCCACCCAAATTTAATGGAAGAGTGCAAGAGTGTGTCCTCAAAACAGCACCAAATATACCCAGAAATGAGGTGTCAACCTGGTGAAGATAGAACACAGATTACTTGCATGCCAAGCAGCATGCTATAGACAGGGCTGATCAATCCAATGGATCTCGTCTAAATTCTGCAGTCCTGCTATATCCTGTTGTGAATGTTTTGATTACAATTCAACAACTTAACAGGAAGAGACAGGTCCACAAATATGAATGGCGAGATAGGATAGTGGTGGTGATTGTGGATTGGAGGGTGGGGAGGGGTTGTTATCTATTGATTCAACGTGTACTTAGCACAAAGGTTATGTTTTTTAAGAGGTCAGTCATCTCAGTTTTAGGACATCCTGCAGGAGTTTGGCAGCCTAGGGCCCAAGGGCCTACCATCTTCAGCTCCCTCATCAGTGATATTCCCTCCATCATAAGATCGGAAGTGGGAACTTTCACTGATGATTGTGTAATGTTCAGCACCATTTGCAAATCTTCAGTTACTAAAGCAGTCCTTATCCAAATGCAGCAATACCTGGACAACATTCACTTTTGGGCTGATAAGTGACAAGTACCATTTGTACCACACAAGTACCAGGCAATGACTGTCTCCAACAAGAGTGAATCTAAACATCATCCATTCAATTGCATTACTGTCTCTGAATTTCCCACCATCAACATCCTGGGAGAAAGCAGCTTACTACCATATTCTCAAGTCTAGTTGTTAGTGAACATTAATTGCTGACTTAGCCAGCAATGCAGACAATCCCAAGTATAATTATTTTTCTTTAAACTCTGAGTCATTCGTGCCAATTAGAGTGTCTGTCTCTGAAGTTTTTCCTTACTTCTCCCTGGAACCTTGTTTTGTCAACTGATAAATGGTCAGCAACTGGTGGGAGAGATTCTGCCCAGCCCATATGATGCTCTTCTTAATGTACCTGACAATGCTTTGCCTTCCTTTCTAATTTAGCTGAGAATAAAATTCTCATTTAATATGCCTGGTTATATATAATATTCTGTACTGCGACTCAGTGATAGTATGTAGATCCATGATTGCATTCTGTAGATGGCAAATCCCAATTTCTGTGGTGTTGGTAGGAGAGGTGATCACAAAAAGCCATCTGTTCCCTGAAATGAATGAGGAGACAATCCAAGGTCAAGAATATATCCACTAACCTTTTAGCTGTGCAACTTAAAATAGCATTTTCAGAAACATAAGAGTAAGTCACCAGCCCCTCCTCCCAGCTTAGGGACCGTTAACAGCAAAGAGGTATTGCAAATAACTGAGATTAAAAATGCTAATATTTTTGAAGAGGAAAGTGTCTTTTATTACTGTTCCAAACAACTATCAGCCACATATTATTATGTTACTTCTTCAGGGTTATGTGGTGGCAGTGCTTCAGGGAAAACTACTGTGGCCAGGAAGATAATAGAAGCTTTGGATGTTCCCTGGGTTGTGCTTCTGTCAGTGGACTCCTTTTACAAGGTTTGTTTATTTATGACTTTGAAATGATAGTTCCTTAACCTCTTGCTATAGGACGTGGTGCTGAGGGGAGCACGCAGAATAGCAATTCTTTGGGGAATTCCTGGATTTGTAACAGAACACTGAGAAGGCAGAGACCTTCATGTTTTATTGTGACCTATATTCATTTTTCTTCAAAATCCTGCCATTTAGATCTGAATTTAAATATTGCAATGTAGTTCTTCTTTTCGCATTCAAATGACATCTATACTGTACTCTGTTCTACTTTATTTTGGATTGAACCCACTGGCAGTGTAGTAGTAATCAGTAAGGGCAGGTTTTACAATGTAGTACACCTAGCAGTGAGCTTCATACACTGGGAACTCAAATTATAATACTCTGCCAGAAAACAGAATTCAGTAGGCACAAATGTAAACCTATTGCACAATATTACAAGTAACACTTTTACACTGTGCCTTTGTGACATCATATCTATTCATATAACTATTGCTGTTGGGTGTATAACTCTCAGCATCTTTTTGTTTTTTTGCCCTGTAGGTACTTACTGAACAGGAGCAAGAACAAGCTGCCAAGAATGAATATAATTTTGACCATCCAGATGCATTTGACTTTGGTCTCATTGTGTCCACTCTCAGGAAACTAAAACAAGGAAAAAGCGTAGCAATCCCTATATATGACTTTACATCACACCGTAGAAAGAAAGAATGGGTAAGCATAATGCACAGTGTAACAAAGGTTGCTATAAAGGAGTCAGTAAGGAAAATTAAGAACTGAGGCCTTGCTTTTGTCATACTGAAAAGAATCATATATACCGAAATGTGTACTTGAAGAGAAAAAAATGTTGAATTTCTACAAGATATTGGCTATGTCACAATTGTAGTCTTTGTGTTGTTCTGGGAGTCCATTTGAGGAAAAATATTACAGCCATGGAAAAGAATTAAGATTCATTGGAATATTACCAGCAATGAGATACTCTAGTTTTATTAACATGGCATTTATAATTGGCATGTATATTCAGTTCTTTGTCACGAGTGGATGTTGAGGCAGTAGTATAAATATAATTTAAGATGGTTGAATAAATATTTTAAAAGATTTCATTAATAGAATTTATCTAAAATGCACAATACTATTAAGTTGCAAAAACAAAGCAGCAACACATAATTTTCTTCACTGTGTTTTGCGATTTTAAGCCCTGGGATATGCTTCCCTATCATTAACATTTCCAGATAACTAGAATGTTTTGTAAAACACTTCAAAACCTATTTAGGGATCTTGCAGTATTAAGCTCCCTTGTTGAAGTGTAGCAAATGAATTTGTTTACTTTTCTTTGTGTTTTGCTAAAAGTACATTGTAAAATCTGGAGAAAATTAACATGAAAATGTAACTTCTGTTCTTTATGAATAGGTATTTTGAAAATTACCTTTAAAATGTGAATAAGATTAGAATATTTTAGTTCAGTTACATTATCACTGTACCTGAAATAATAATAATGGAAGACTGATTAGTTTATACAGAATGAAGGAAATAAGCTTTGTAATTTAGTAATGGGATGTTAGTGTAAAAATGCCAACATTCTGTTATTGGGAGAATGGAAGCTGGCCAAGGAAGAGGAGAAAATCGTATTCGTGTGAAATATTACATTTAAAGATAGATCAGGGCAAATTGTTTAATTGTTCTAATCAGGATAAGTCATTTTCAGCTGGTCTTTCAGTGATCTTGAATATATGCTATGTCTTCAAAATCTATAATGCAATTAAGGCTGCTTTTTCTTTTAAGAAATGCTCATTTCTTTATTGCTACGCACTGATTCATAGTATGTTTTTTGTGCCTCAGAAAACATTATATGGAGCCAGTGTGATAATCTTCGAAGGTATCATGGCATTTGCTGATAAAGAAGTGTTGGAGGTGAGTGCCATTGCATTAAACATCGTACTTTTGACGCGGAACTGCAATTTGTCCCAGTTTCAACTGAAAGTCAGTGAGGTGCCAACACTGCCCAAAAATGTGAGCTTGAGGCCTAATCTAAATTGGGTTTTGGGCTTTGTCAGTTTCATACTGATGAGCTATGATGCCAGTCAAGATTCCCAATACAGCTCACCTTAGGAATTTCAAACTGACTCTGGTGCTGAAAAAGCCCAGAAGGACGGGGAGGTGAGATGGAGGGACAAGCATGAGCCAGCATGTGACTTTCAGTATTTTGGTAGAGATGGCAGTATAATTCATAGAATTTCTAAGTTTAAAGTTTTCCTCTTTATGTTTAAGTCACTCTATGACATCACCATAGTCTATCATTTGTGATCCTTTCCAGAGTTACAAACCTCCCAAAATCTCCTTACACCTCCCAATTCTGGACTTTTGTGCGCATGATTTTTTAAAAACTTCCTTAAAAATCATAACAATATAAAATGGGCTTTCATCTGTCTTGCCTTTAATGTACAGACTTCTTGTGACTATGTGAACCCAAAATGGATGCTAGCTGTAGTACCAGTTAGCTAACAATGCTTAATTCATATTTCAATCAATATGTACCTGTCTTAGCTCTGGTTGAATGTAGAATTCAGTGACTCTTCTTCCACCATGGAAAAACAAATGTTTTGGTCAATGTGTCTGATGTATACCACCAAATCAGTGCTTTCCATGAATCTGTGCCTGATTCTCTGATCATGCTATATTTTTTCTCAGATTTAAGGTTGAAACATCAGTTCAATTTAATATTTGAATTGTCTGCACTAAAAGTAGAACACCAGGACACACAAGTTAGGAATAGGCCATTTGGCATCTCATGTCTGCTTTGCTATTCAGTTAGAATGTGGCCGATCTGATTGTGACCTCCACTCCAATTCCTTGTCTGCCCGCCATAACTCTTTGTAACCTCCTATCATACATCGTATTCAAGTCGATTGGGTTTGGAGAGCAGAGAGATTAATTAGATCAATGCAGCTTGGGATGATGGGAGGAGAGAGGCAAATAGAAGAATTAAGAGGTTCGAGAGGAGGGAGGATGAGACAAAGGCAACAATAAAGGTAAAAGAACAGGTGGAGAAAGAAAAACGGGAAGACTGTGAAAATGAGAGAAGGGTGCCAGATAGATGGTGTGCGGGCAGAACAGGTACGGAGAATGGATGAAGAGTGACAGAAAGTGGGAGGTGAGCAGAAAGAAAGAGGATGGATCAAAGAGAATAGAATGATGAGAGGCATCAGATCAAGATTCAAGAGAAAGTGCAGGGAAATTATTTCAACAACATTTCGATAGTAAACACATGCAGCAAGTGGAAAAGAACATCACGTTGCACTTTCTATTGTCTATGTTGACAGGTCCTACCCCAGGTACCTTTCTTGATTTGTTGAGCCAAAGATCCTCAGTAGTTGGGAGCTGGTGTAATTTTAGAAGCAGCAATAAAAATATAAACATGCAACATTAGTGTATGTATTACAAATGAATTACAACTTGAGCATTAGATATTGGGAATACATGTGCCACAGAGCCTCCCAGTCTCTTCTGTCTGGAATGTATAAAGATTTGCTAAGATCATTCATGTACTGCAGCAGATGCTATTTTGGGATCTAATGTGTTTGACATGGACATTTGTAAAGATGAACACAGCACCATCTGCAGACAGTGTAGGTTTTGCAGGTGAATATGAAACATATATAAAATAGAAAATTCCATTAGAATCAGTGACATAAAGGCTCTTATTGAATATGTGTTCCCTTTTTACTTAGAACCTTTTATTATCTGTTAAATATTTGTCTATCTGTACTTGTGGTGCTTGACCATCAAATTTAATACTGTTGTGCAAAAATCAGTGCCTTCCGATTCCGGTATGAATCAACCATTCAGTATGATCATAGAAATTTCAGCAGGGAAGCAAATATTTAATCCATCTCATCTTCACTGGTTCTAATTCTTCAACTGTAGCTATCTACTGCAATCGTATGCCTCTGCCCTTATTTTGTACCTTTTCTCAAATACTTAAGAATTCCTTTTCCAAAGCTATTATAGCCTCTGTCTCAAAATGTTTAAAGTGTTCCAGGTGTTAATAAATATTTGTATTTATTTTTCACTTCTACTCCCTTCTATGTGATGATCCTCAGATTGTGCCTTCTACTTAATGAATTACCAGCTAGTGGTAGCAATGTTTCAGTATTCAAAACATACTGCAATTTGAAAATCTTTGTTGGACCCTGTTTAACATCTTTTGAAGTGCAACAAATCTAGAATATGCTCTTTATACTGGTGCTGAAATCTTTGAAAAAGTAAGTGTATCTCTAGTAAAAACAACTGTCTAAGATAGTGCCATTATAGCATAGATTGCGTTGTTCTTTTCAAGTGGCATGATGTTACGCACTAGCGAGCAAATGTAATGAGAAATAAGGTACTAAAGATGCTGAAAGTGTGAAATACAAACAGAATGCTGGAAATACCCAAATGATCAGGCATCAATTGTGGACAGAGAAAGAGCATAATGTTTTAATTTGATAATCTTTCATTAGAAGTGCTAATAACCAGCAATGTCAACTCTGGGTGGAATGTTCTTCCCCTTGGCGCTTGCAAATGATGGGAGGACCATCCTCAAGTTGGGAATTTGATTCACTAAAATGCTTGCATGGCTGTTTCTTTTTCCCAGTGTTAACTAGTTATCAAACCCCTGGGGTCCTCCAATCCAGCCAGGGGAAACATCGCAAATGCAACCATCCTGTCATTCCCTTTAAAAAAAAAAAGTTTTTTAAGTTTCAATGAGATCACCTGTCACTCTCCCAAACCCTCAGGTGTACGGGCCCAATATCGTAGGCTTCAATCATATCCGAACCTCTACAGTATGGAAGCAGGCTATTCGACACGTCGAGTCCACACTGACCCTCCAAAGAGCATCCCATCCAGACTCATTCTCCTACCCTATCCTTGTAACTTCACATTTTTCATGGCTAACCCAGCTAACCTATACATCCCTGGACACTATGGGCAATTTATAACCTGCACAGTTTTGGACTGTGGGAGGAAACTATGAGAGCACCCGGAGAATGTGCAACTCCACACAGATAGTCACCTGAGCTGGAGTTGAACCCTGGCTCCTGGTGCTGTGAGGGGCAGCAGCACTAACCACTGAGCCATTGTGCTGCCTCAAAATCATCCTATTGCCTTCTTTCACCCATACCTCACAGCCACTGCAAACTGATACACCTCTCTGCATTCTGTCTGTCTTTGTGCAGAGAAGAGAGCACATAATGTAGTGAGATTTCGGCTCAGGGAGGGTTTGGGACTAGGTGTTCAGTGGGGTGTTTCTCCAGTGACAGGCACCTCGTCAGTCAGTGGCAATACCTGGCTCGCTGGTAAAGAGGTCTTCTTCCAGGAGGTTGCAGCTGTGACTAGGCGTGACTGCATGAGCCTCCTGAAGCACTAGTGCACAGACATCTCAAGAAGGTTTATTCTTCTCTGTTACTTTCTTCCAGTTGGATCTTGCCTCTCCCTACAGGTAAGATTGGATAGATAGTGCTATGGCTTCTGCCCTTGACCTTCAGCAGAGATAGCCAGTGCATTTATTCAAGCTGCTCCCATACTGTGCTGAAGACTGCTTACTGGGAAGTACAGCTCCACCTGAGTGCTGTGCTAGACGGATGAAGTGCTTTCCAAGAGACTGAAAATCAATTATTAACAGTGAAAGCATTCTCTTTTGAACAGTGTCTTCTCATTGGCCAAGTTTTCTCAGATTAAGAGTTTCACAGGAACCTATTCCCACTGTAGAGACCCTAACAACTTGCTGACAAGTTGGGAGACCAATCCCAAGTTTGGAAAATCCAGGATTTAGGCTTAAAACAAGTCCAAATTTTACCCTGATAACTACCTCAACAGATTCTTGCATACAGGGCCTATTCCTTGAATGCATTTAAATCTATCCTGGGGAAACCTTAAAAGGGTGGGATAATATCAATATCCTGAATCAACAATAGTTCCAGGACTTTCCCATAAATTCTGCCCTCTGTTTCATTTAGGATGCTAAAATTTGAATGTAACCCACTAAATTGTTATTACAGCTCAGAGAAAAGAATTCGCCTAGTGTTATGAGAATCACTGGCCCTAATTCAATTTTATTTAGCTTGTTGTCCATGTGTGCCAGCTAAAATCGGAGCAGCTTATTAATTTATGCAAACTGTCAACTATTGTTCATCTGCAATTGACAAGTTTGGTTTAATATCTGATTTTGCAGTGTACATAATGGCATGGGTATATTAATAAATTATGAAAGAAACTGGTTGCAAAATATAAAAATGGGTGGCAAAAGCTTACATAAGTATACAAATGGAAAGAAAATAGCTAAAGTGAATGTTGGTCCCTTGGAGGATGGAACTGGGGAGGTAATAGTAAGGAACACAGAAATGGACTCACTAAATCAATATTTTGCTTCAGTTTTCCCAGTGAAGAACACTAATACCATCTCAATAGTAACAGCTAATGCAGAGGTCATAGAAAGGAAGGAAGTTAGATCAATCATCATCACTAGGGTAACAAGTGCTGAGCAAGCTATTGGGATTGAAGCCAAAAAATGTCTGCACGGTTGATGACCTACATACTAGGATCTTAAAGGAAGCGGCAGCAGAGATAGTGGATCATTTGGTCATAATCTAAAAATTCCCTGGATGTAGGAACGGTTCTAGTGGACTGGAAAAATGGTAAATAGAACACCTTCATTCAAGAAGAGAGGAAGGGAGGCAGAAAGTAGAAAACTACAGACCAGTTGGCTTAACATGTTACTGGAAATTGGTAGAAACAATTATTAAGGAAGTAATAACAGAACATTTGGAAAATCATAGTACAATCCATCAGAGGCGAGTGTGATTTTATTAAGGATAAATCGGGTTTGCCTAATTTGCTAGAGTTCTTTGAAGATATAACAAGCAAGATGGATAATGGGGGAGCAGATTACTGCGGATGCTGGAATCTGTATTGAAAACAAAAAGTGCTGAAGGATCACGGCAGGTCAAGCAGCATCGTGGAGAGAGAGCAAGATAACGTTTCGAGTCTAGATGATTCTCTTCATCAGAGTGCATAATGGGGATGCTGTAGATGTAGAAAATCTGGACTTCCAGAAGGCATTCGATAAGCTGTTGCACAAAAGGTTAATACATGAGGTAAGATCACATTGGGTAGGGTAATTTATTAGCTTGGATAGAGGATTGGCTAACCAGCAGAAAGCAGAGAGTAAGGATAAATGGATCCTTTTTGGATTGGCAAGACATAACTAGTGGGATACCACAGGGTTCAGACTTCAAGCCCCAACTATTTATAATCTATATTAATGATTTTGGATGTGGGGATAGAAAGTACTGGTCCAAATTTTCAGATTACACTAATATAGGTGGGAACTTAAGTTGTAATGAAGAAATTTACAAATAGATATGGACAAGTTAGGTGAATGGGCCAAAATTTGACAGATAAAGTTTACCGTGGATAATGAGAGGTTATCCATTTTGGTCAGAGGGATAGAAAAGCAATTTAATATCTAAATACATAGAGAGAAAGTGCTTTGGTGCAGAGGAATCTGGGTGTCCTCATGCATGAATCTCAGAAAACTAGTATGCAGGTACAGCTGGTAATAAGGAAGACACATGGAATTTTGCCATTTATTGCTGAAGGAATAGAGTAAAAAAAAAATGTAAGGAAATGTTGCTGAAACTGTACAAGGCATGAGTGAGTCCACACCTGGAGTATTAGGTACAATTTTGGTCTCCTTACTGGAGGAGAAAGGTAGTTATATTGTAAACATTTCAGAGGAGGTATTAATTTCAGAGCCAAGGGGTTTGTCTTGTGAAGAGAAATTGAGCTGTTTAGGTCTATACTCTAGAGTTTAGAAGAATGAGAAGTGATCTAATTAACGTATATAAAATACTAAAGGTAATTGACGAAGTAGACGTAGAGAGGGTGTTTTCTCATGTGGGATAATCTGGAACAAGACATCTTAGTTTTATGATAAGGGGTAACAGATTCAAAACAGAGGTGAGGAGAAATTACTCCTCTCAAACAGTCATGAGTCTGTGCAGTTCACTACCCCAGAGTATGGTGGATGCTGAAACATCGAGTAAATTTATGTAGGAGCTAGACAGATTTATTGAATAGTAATGGATTGAAGGGTTATGGAAAACGTGCAGAAAAGTGGAGTTGAGGCCAAGGTAAGATCTGCCATGACGATATCAAATAGCAGAGCTTGTGGGGCTGAATTACCTCCTCCTGCTCCTGTTTTTATGTTCTTATGAATTAGGAGCAGATATAGGCCACTCAGCCCTCAGCTTTGCTTGGATCTGATTTGTCCATGTTTCTGTCTAACCCAGATAACCTCCATGTTCCCACCTACCCAAGATAACCTTTCATCCCCTTGCTTATCAAGGGCTGTTGTCATGAAATGCCAAAGGCTGGTGTTGGTGCAACAAAGCACTCCTAGTCAAATGTAATAATCTCAATGTTTGGAACTTGCATGCTTGGCTGGTACAGCCCAATCTCAAATTTACTTCATGTTGGATCATTACAGCCAATAGAAATAGGAACCAGCATATTGGCAATATAGGGCTGAACTGAAGCCTGCAACCTGCACTGGGGTGAATGATCAGCGAGACAATCTGCTACTTTTGCAGGCTATAGATAAAAGAAATGAAAGCACAATTGATTTTAAAATGTTGTAATGACCAAAAATTGCTATCAGTACAAATGCAATATTTTGTGAAGTGAATAAGCTTTAAAAAAGACAAAGTCACTGGATATACCCCACAAAAAAATTGCTGCAAAGTCCCAAATGTAACAATAAAACTGTAATGTACCTTATGTCATAGAAAGAAGTCTGATGAAATGTTTTTTGAAGATCCCTGAAGTACATGACCCACCAGTTCACTTTATTTAAAAACTTTTATTCAGAAGATGACATGTAATCTGAAATGCATCTACTTTAAAGGAAGAAAACTTTGTATCAGCGTTCAAAAGCACTATGATGATACTCGTAGAATCTGAATTCTATTCATCCATTTCCAAAAATGCTTTTTACAAGTGCAACCATAATTGAATTGAATTGAAATAAAAGGGAAGCACTGTTTATTAAGATAAGATTTAAGATTTTCTATTGAAATAGGTGTTGATATAACTGATTAGCTGTATGTTTGTTCCCCTGTACTGATATGTTCAAAGCATGTATGATGCGTTGAAAGGGTTTGTAAATCCAATGAAATTTAGAACTGACCAAGGGGAAAACTTGCACTTGCAGGTAGAATGCTGGTAATAGCAATTAAATGAACAGAATGATGCTGTCATCCTCACTGATACAAAATAACCATACAGGAAAAATAATTTTACATATATTTAAGCATTAAAAATAAATATTTGTTTTAATCACAATTCCGAGGTTTGTGACCTTTCTTGAAAAATCACACTGCATTTCTGTTCAAGGAGAAATCTGTTTTTTAAAAAAATGCTCTAAATTTTAAGCTTTTAATGGAGAATGACTGCTCAACATGCTGCCTTGTGCTTGCAGCTACTGGACATGAGGATCTTCGTCGACACAGATTCTGATATTCGATTAGTACGACGCCTACGTAGAGATATTGCAGAGCGGGGCCGTGATATCGAAGGAGTCATCAAACTGTACAACAAATTTGTAAAGCCATCCTTTGAACAGTACATTGAACCAACAATGCGACTGGCTGACATAGTGGTTCCAAGAGGTAACAACCACTGATACACAATTTTTAATTTGTTACGTGTAATGTTCGTGAAAACAGCCATAATTAAAGCTTTCAAAAGAAAAAGAATTATTACAAAACAATTGTCAATTTCAAATCCAATGAATTGTACTTACTTTATTTGAATGATATTAACAATGTTTATTGAGCATATTTAGCTTCTCCAATGGAATTGAAAAGTTTGATATTCTCTGGTCCAGTCATGCCAAGGTTTTACTACTGGCATTATTTTTATATAAATGTTAATGGATTTAAAATAAATGAGTTAATTCTGGTGCCAGTGAATGAACTTTGAGTGGAAAACGTAGCTTTGGGAGGCTGATGATGGGAAGGCTGCCTCCAAAGATATAGAGTCATAGTCATACAGCCATACAGCTCGGAAACAGACCCTTCAGTCTAACCAACCCATGCCAAACATAATCCCAAACTAAACTAGTCCCACATGCCCACTCCTGGCCCATATCTCTCCAAACCTTTCCTGTTAATGTGCTTATCCAAATGTCTTTTAAATGTTGTAATTGTACCCACATCCACCACTTCCTCAGGAAGTTTATTCCACATGTGAACCACCCTCTGTGTAAACAAAAAAAAATTTCCCTCGTGTCTTTTTTAAATCTCTCTCCTCTCGCTTTAAGAATGTGCCCCCTAAGTCTTGAAATCCTCCATCCTAGGGAAAAGGCAACTACCATTATCGCTGATGCTGCCTGGCCTGCTGTGTTTCTCTGGCTCCACACTGTGTTATACCATTAACTCTATTTATACCTCTCATTATTTTATAACTTCTTTAAGATCACCTCTCAACCTCCTATGCTCCACCCTTTCTTTGTAACTCAAACCTTCCATACCTGGCAACATCCTGGTAACTCTCTTCTAAGCCCCCTCCAGCTTGATAATATCCTTCCTAAAACTAGATGACCAGAATTGGAGACAGTATTCCAGAAGAGGCCTCACCAATGTCCTGTACAAACTCAACATGAATTCCCAACTCCTATACTCAAAGGACTGAGCTATGAGAAGCTCATTAAATTTTGTAATTTCTAAATAGTTGTTATTTTATTAACTCACGGGTTGTGGATATTACTGAATGGGCCAGCATTTACTGCCCATCTCCAGTTGTCCTTGAGAAGGTGGTGGTGAACTATACTTCTTGAATCGCTCCATTCCATTTGGTGTAGGTAGACCCACAATGTTGTTAGGGAGGAATTTCCAGGACTTTGGCCCAGTGACACTGAAGGAATGGTGATATGTTTCCAAGTCAGGATGGTAAAAAGCTTGGAGGAGAAATGCGGGTGGTCGTGTTCCCATGTATCTGCTAACCTTGTCTTCTAGATCGAAATGGACATTGGTTTGGAAGGTACGTCTAAGGAGCCTAACTGAACTTCTTGTAGATCTTGTACATCTTGTAGATAGTAGCAGCAATGTGTACTGAGTGTCAATGTTGGAGGGAGTGAATGCTTGTGAATGAGATGCCAACTGATTATTGTCAGTAAAAACATTATTGTCAGTCATGAAAACATTTCATGAACATGAGGTCAGTTCAGTTCACAGAAGTTAAAGGCAGTTAATAGCTCAATTTCCATATCAAACAAATTCTCTGCATTTTGTAACATGACAACAATACTCTGCCCAACATATGTTTGAAGTTATTAGTTAGGAATGCAAGAGACATGCAGAAAAGAAGTTATATTTCAACTTTGGTGTTACTCACCGAGCAGTGACTGCATGTGCTTAATCAAGTAAATACTGAATAGGATTGTTGTAACATTTTTGGTACAATGTTAATTTGTCAATATCTTTTTGGCATGTCCTCCAGCGTCTGTTTTATTTGATCATTTTGTGTTAAACCAAACATGTAATGCCAGTACTGTGTGAGTTCAAGCTATTTGCTACTTTTTGGATTGCCTTTTCAATATTTACATGTTGAAGTACATTTTGTTTTTCACGGTGTTATGAAACTTAAGTTTTTATGACTATCCTTGAACCCCTTTAGCATGTAGAAAACTCCAATGGACAATTGTACAAGTTGGCTATATGGTGGTTGAACTTTGCATTGGAGTAATTTGCTGTCATAAGATCTAGGATTGTAGAATTCCTACAGTGTGGAAGCAGGCCATTCAGCCCTTCGGGTCCACACCAACCCTCCGAAGAATATCCCACTCAGACCCACCCATCTACCCTATCCCTGCAATCCTGCAATCCTGCATTTCCTGTTGCTAATCCACCCTATCCCTGGACACTATGGCCAAATTAGCATGACCACTTGTTGGACTGTGGGAGGAAACCGGAGCACCTGGGGAAAACCCACGCAGACACAGCGAATGCCCAAGGCTGGATTCAAATCCAGGACCCTGGCACTGTGAGGCAGCAGCGCTAACCCACTGAGCCACAGTGCCACCCCAAGAATTCCTACAGTGCAGATAGAGGCCATTTGTGCCATCTAGTCTGCGCAGAGCTTGAAAGGGACAAAGTGAAGCTAAAATATTTAAAACTGGAAGTGTTAATAAAGGTCAGGCAAATTGAAATTGAGAATATGTTGCATTATTATGTGGCAACTGTAAATGATGTTGCTATCATTAGCTTTCGACTGATTTGACTCTTGCTTCCAAAATGCACGTTCAAATAAATTGGGCAATCTTGGGCTCCGAGTGAGAAGCAATGTTCAATGGAATTGCAGGCTGGAGATTCAACATTACAATCTTGAGGGCCAGTATCCAACTCTGTTCAGTAAGACTGTATTCATATGATTTGTGCTTTTGATCTTTAAACATTTCACACATCAATGCAATTTAAGCAGGCTAGTAGCTTGTATTACAGGTAGAACCTTCTTCAATCCTGCCTAGTTCCAAAATATGTCCAAGTTTTAATTCTTGTTGTCACTCCTTTTATTTCCTGTCAACACTCACAGAAAACATAGCAATCCTCAACAAAACTGAGGTCTTCATGTTAATTGGTTATTAATGAGAAGTTGAGTCATAAAGGAACATCTGAAAAAGAAATTTATTTTCTTAGATGTAATAAAAATGATACATCGATAATGTAATAAATTTAGAAAATTTTGTCAGTAATTAGCTCACTTCTGAAAAGAAGTTTCAATTTGCATCATCAGCAAAATAATTTCACTGGTGTGATTTCGCCCATTTGTTTTCACTTTAACATTACATGTGAAAACATTCCCAGATATTTCTAAAGCAAAGACAGCCACATAAGCCAGGGCATTCTTATTTAATAAAGTAAATGAATATTGCTTACTAGCTAACTAAATACCAGCTGTGGCTACATGTAGGATGCAATTTTTATTGAGAAACAATGTGGGGAAGGTGACAAAAGTTAATTTGAAAACACATTGATTGCAGGGGCATGGACTGCAAAAACAATGTTATATCTATTGCCTTTGTTTTAAGGAGGAGGAAATATGGTTGCCATTGATCTAATAGTCCAGCATGTCCACAGTCAGCTAGAGGAGGTAAGCAGAATTTTTTAAAGTGATCACCTCTACAGTTCAGAGAAAAGACATGGTGCATAATGTAACTACACAAAATTGTAAAGTTGTTTTATTGTAGATGTTGTGAGAGCTCTAAACTGAATCTGTTTATCAAAAATACAACAAGTCATGAAGCAACCTCAGGTAGCTTCTTCATTGGAGTTCATTGCACAGAAACATTTCCAATTTCAATAAAATTTATGATATTTTTTAAGCATATGAGCGAGAGAAGTTTTGACATTTAAATCAGCCACGAAAATTAAATGGTGTGAAGCTTGGTGTTTGCTTACTGCTACATTTCCTTTCTTAAGTCCTTAACCCTTTCATCATCATGCTCTGTTTGACCAAAGTGAAGGATTTCTGCTTTAACATATTGATTTTCCTTTCTTTGTAAATTTAAGATGTTATGGATGTATTCTGATGTGTAGATTACTATCATCAAAGCATTTTGTTTCAATGTACATTCTGAATAGTGTTCCTCCATAAGGAAAGAACCTGAGACTACTGTATATGCTGACTCTGTTAAATGAGTTAACAGCTTTGTCTAACTAAAGCAGCTAAAGTTTTTTAAACTAATTTTTAACGATTCACTGCACTGTACAATTTTATAGTCTCACTTCTCCATTGATTTTCAATTTGTTTTTATAATTATGTACTATTAAAATGTTATGATGTAAAAAGATCATTTATTTCAAAAACAACTATTGTTCCTTATATGTAATCTATGAAGCGAGAAATCTTAGCAACAACTAATTTGGCCTGAAGCAAGCAATAATTATGCAGCCAATGTCTGAGGCTGCAATAGCCTTATTAAACAATTTCTCCCACCACACCCCATGTAAAATATATTTAATTTTGTCCCTTCTACTGGGCATTTGACGTGTATTAATATTATTGTGAATATTATAGATATTATTCTTTCAATTTCAAATACAAGGCAAACAGATCAAATCCATGACCTATATCATTGTACCCAAAATGAATGCATTCTGCAGTCACTAGACTTTATGGAAAGTCCCTTGTGAGTCAGCTGGTTGTGTTGTGGGAAACTGATAGGGCAACTTTATAACCAAAAAACAGCAAAGCTGTGGTGCAGTTTTCGTTTGTTATGCAAGTCAGTACCAGAGATGCACACATAGTGGGATTTGTATATATCCTTTCCATGTTCATGAGCTACTCTACGGCTGCCCTGTGGATTCACTGCTGGAGATCAGAGGTAGACATCACCTCAGTATATTCATTATGAAAACGTCAAGAGATATTTATCTCCTATTTCTATTTGTGGTAACTACCAACTATAGACATTGGCTTAATCTTTTTTTTTGCAAACTGGTGTCTCATTAAAGGGGAACTGTTTTCATGAAGCTGTATGGTAAAACTTTGTTTATTTAGGGACAGAAAATAGCCAGGACTCTCCTAGATCAGCCTGAACCCATTTTTTGAAACAACTTGCTTCTGAATTGTGAGCAAGCAAATAAAAAGATGTGCAGAAAATTCTTAATTGAAATGGTACACTTTTTCAAATAATAGTTCTTTATGTATCATTGCACCACACTGTTTAAAGATTCATACACCAGTCCATTATAAGTAATCAATGATTTGACTGTTGCAAGTTCATCTGTCTCCAGCACCTTATTTTGAAAAAGACCTTAGAAATTGCAGAGTCCTTGAACCTTTCCTGATGAGCTGCTACAATAAAATGCCTTTACTGAACAATTAGTAACCAAGTAGTGGGCCACCTCATGAATACGGGGGAAAAAAATGAGAAGCTGAATGTCTTTAATGATTGTTTGTGTAGTCAAAGTACACCACCAAGCTGTCAAAGCTGTGTTTTATGTCTCTGGTTGGAGTCTATATCCACTTGCTAAAGAGCGCTTGATTTCCAGAAATTACACTTTGTGCTTCCCCTCTTTAGGTAGTTGTATCATGCTTACGTTTATTGTTCAGCTCAGAAGACAGCTCATTTACTATTAAAATACCTAAAAGTTCAACACCTTTGATTATAGTTAATATTTTATCGCTAATATTTTATTGTTCTCGGTCTTCTGGAACAACATTGTTATATCCTGTACATTCATGCTTCAAAATGCATTGTTATTTTCCTGTAATTTGACTGCCCTGATAGATTGAGTCAGTCAATGTGTTGCTGGATTTCTGGTTTCATGCTTATGTTATTCTATATACTTTGACTCGTTCCAATAATAGTTTATTTTTGAAAACGAATCTATGGATCCCAGTTATTTAGAAAGAAATCCTTTTCTTTGATCTAAAAACAAATTGGCATGAACAGAGCAATAAAGATCTCTTGTTGCTGGAATTCATATCTGAACCATTTCTTCCAAACCTAATCTAATTTGAACAACATAAATACCCAAAATTCAATACACTCAGGCCTCATTATCTGTGAAGGATAAAGGCATGGACTTCCTGCGGATAAAAAAAAACAAAAAAAACCCTCCTTATGTACCACAAAGGAACACACAATGTTTATTGTATGAGAAACTGGATGAGAGAATGAGAAAAATTTAAGATGTGATCTGGGGCCTACCTCATGAGTATGCAGATCCATGGGTAGCAAATCAATGGATAATGAGAACTGAGTGTAGCAGGTTATTCCTATAAATTTCACAGAATTGATCAGACCGGGATGTTGAGTAATATTTGATGTGTAAAGTCACTCATGTCAGAAATAGAAAGCCTATTACTCTAAGCATAGCCTTCTAGTATCTGTGTGCAATCCAAGTTAACAGTTGGTTGGGAGGTAAGTGGAATAAAATGTGGTTTGTAGTGGTATCTTTTCATTCGGTGTATATACTGACCTTTCTGCATGTACCTTTTAATGCAACAGCTTTGCTTTGTGGCAACATTTTCACCTTCATTCACGTTGTGGTTTTTTTCTTTTTTTTATTTTCCAAAACACATCAAAGTTCTTAATGTTAATTTCATCTATTGAATGAAAATACAGGTGGATGAAAAATATTAACTAGACCTTTTTGAGCTGTTTCACAAGATGCTGATGTTAGTACAAATTCGTTATATAGAACGTATGTAGTAAATTGCATGTCTTGCGTTGAGTTTCCATTGCATTGTAATGTCTGTTTGACCTTTTTCCGAATTTCCATTACAGTTTAAAGCAGTGAAGCCTCGTTTTTTATCTTTAACCACATATTCACTTTACTAACAATTGTCGTGTTTTGTTGAATTATAATTGGCTGTTGATAAACTGCAGAATACAGTGCACCTGTATGCATCTACAATTGACTAAAATCTTACCTGTTGTGTAAGCTGAAAAAGGTGTACCATTTAAGTATCCATTTAGGAATAAAATGATTTGGGCACAAACAAGTAAAAGCAAATCTCCTGAATGATTAATGCAAAGCATCATTTAATATCTGATAAGATTGTGAAGGCAAAAGGATATTTAAGAGATAGTTGTTGCTATAAAGGGAGCAGGCAGAAAACAAGTTTACTTGTAAGGATGATCCAGTTGTTGAATATGACCTTCATTTATATTTTGTACAACTTCAAAAATTGTCATATAAAATGATTTTATTTACACGCAGACACATTTTGACACTTAGACTGTGACATGCTACTCAGCATATTTTTATGACCTGAAGAAATGATAATTTAGAACATTGAGTTGATAAAAGAAGTGTCTTTTCTATCACTGTGATTGATTTAGTGGGTTGAATAGCCAATTAATACTTCTGGTTCCATCTCCATAATTTAAAGAGTGAAGCTTCTCAGCATTGCTGAATTTAATTGGTAAAATTACTAGATACAAAACCTTTTTACCAAATTACGTTAATTGATTATTGTTTTTGCTTTTAATGCACAACTTTAATAGATTGTGTTTCTAGTTGTTGTTTAACAAAGGAAGTATTGCTAAAATTCATGTCATTGAAATTGTTTAATCTCCCACTCTTTTATCCCCAAGTGAGATTTGACTGACCAACATACCTAATTCTGAGTTTCACACTACCAGACTGCCTTAATTAATTTCAAGGCTACTGAGAATTAAATTCCTATTCTCCATTGCCATAACTGAGATGACAATAGTTGTATGTTTGTAATTGTAATTATTTAGCTTTAATTATTGATCTTAAGATGTAGTTCCTAATTTAAAAATGTGATCAGAAACTTGTTCTGTGGGCAGGAGAATCATGAATATGTTTGCATGTTTATTATGACTTTGAGTTCTTTAAAGTATGGTGCCACCTAGTGTCAGGTGTGAATGTCAGAATTTTCCCCAATATTTCCCTCCTTTTAATATGGCTTGTTTGATGTGGTTGTCTGCTTCTGTCGCCATTATATGTTGGAATCATCAGAACATGAAGGAGGCAGCAATATTGGATGCTGTAGAATAAGTCAGCCATAAGATGGTAAAAACCGAAGCAACTGTAAATTGGAAACAAAAACATAAGTTGCAAGAAAAGCTCAGCAGGTCTGGCAGCATCTTTGGGCCTGGTGTCCCCTGCAGCCCTCTGGACTCAATATTGAGTTCAATAATTTTAGGATCTGAGCTCTCCCATGTCCTAGCCCCCTACCCCACACACCGGGCCTTCTTATCATATAGTCTGCCATTACACGCTACCTATTTTTTGACACTAATGGTCTCCATTAACAGCTATTCATGCTCCTAGCCAGCTCGTTATCCACTCCTTTGTCTGTTCAACGGCTCTTCTCTCTCTTTGGGCTCTATCCCCACCTTTCGTTTAGTCCTTACCCCCTCCCTCCACCCTATCTTTTAAACGTTAACTCTGATTTCGCTTCACAGATGCTGCCAGACCTGCTGATCCTTCCGAGCCATATGGTGGTGTAAGGAGGGGAGGAGAGGGTGAAAAGTTTAGCATGCTACATTTCCGCTTTCTACTTACTTTATGCTGCACATCTGTTTATACCATTGTATCAACCTAAGAGTTGTGTATGAGGCAGCATTTCCAACTAAACAATGTATTTTTCAATGGACAGATTTTATT